AACAAAAAAATTTGGAATCATAGGTTTTGTTTATGGAAACTCATCTAGAGTTCAGTGTTTTTACTGGTTTGTATTTTTAATTCATTTACTCAACAAATGTCTACTGAATCACCCTGTGTACAAAGACTGGGGATACAGCAGTAAACAAGTGAACAAAGTATGACACAGTACCTGCCCTCAGGTAAGTTATACTATAGTGGGGAGTCAGACATAATTGTAACATTAATAATTCAGTACAATTATGCGAACTTCTATGAATAAAAGACAACGTGCTATCAGAGCATACAAAAGGGGATTGATCTCTCATAAGATCTGTGGGAAGAGATGAGTAGTTAAATGTGCATTGAAAAACAATGCTCTGGGCAAGAAAGCAAAGCAGGACCTCAGCTGGGATGTCTCTGCAATGGTCCAAGAGAAAGGTGCCTTTGACCATAGTGGTTGCAATGGGTGTAGACAGAGTGAACACACCTAAGAGATTGTTAGGAGGTTAAGGGATACAATATGTACCAGGGAAATATTCCACATGATCAAAGGAAAACTTAATATCTGTGACTAGAGCAGTGTATTGTCAACAAACCCCAATGCTTAGTGGAAAATTAGAGATGAATTTTTTTCTTTTTGTCTTCCATCATCTTCTGTCAGTTCTACTTGTTTTACTGTTAGAAAGCTGGCTGAGCAAAGGGATTCAGAATTTCACTGAAATAATAGTTTTCTGATGGAGTGATCTATTCTTTAAAAAAAAAAAAAATCTTTTTGACAACTCTTGCCAAAGCTGTGTGTTTCACTTGGATAGCCCTGGGGCATGAAGAAGACTGGGTCATGGCCTCTACCTTTGATATTCTCATTGTCCAACGAGGGAGACCTGTCCACAGCATCATGGTACATAAAATACCAAATGACCATTGAGGGGTTAATTATGAACAATGTCCTGTTGGAGACTTTGGGGGAGTGAGGGTGGTACCCTGCCATTAAGAGAGAAGGCTGTGGAGTCTGGGCTTGGATTTGGAAACATCGATTTACTAACTTCCTCCTCTAAGTTTCCTACATTGTCTCATCTAAGACATGGGAGTAATAATAGGGGATTATTCATAGGTGGTTCTAATAATCATATGGCATGATACATGAAAATCATCAATTGGCAGAGGATGTAGTAGTGGCTTAATAAATACAACAAATGTAGCTGTTCTATTGTTCTAGGGGAGGGGATTATTAGCCCTCTGAGTCAGGAAAAGTTACACAGCAATGCTTTATATCATATTTAAAGGGTGTATATAGCTGACCTTTATTTTAATAAGTTTGGGCTAAAGGAATAAATATGTTTTATGACAATAAAATAATTTATTAAATATTTATTACATGTTAGGTACTGCTCTGAGTATTATAGAGATATTTTCTAACTTCATTTTTGTCTGGTCTTAAGAAGGAAATACTATTACTATGCCCATTTCACAGATGAGAGTCCTGAGGTCCCAAAATATCTGTTACTTGCCCACGATTACATAGTAAATTGCTAACCTGAGATTTAAATCCAGTTCAGACCAACCCAGAGCTTTGCTCTTAAGTTTTACAAGTTTACAAGCTTCTTTACTTAAAAGCGCTGCTGAATTCAAACCAGCTTTTACTTATTATGTATTTGCTCAATCAATAGAAATTAAAAATACATGGGGCGCCTGGGTGGCTCAGTCGTTAAGCGTCTGCCTTCGGCTCAGGTCATGATCCCAGGGTCCTAGGATCGAGTCCCACATCGGGCTCCCTGCTCGGCAGGAAGACTGCTTCTCCCTCTCCCACTCCCCCTGCTTGTGTTCCTGCTCTTGCTGTCTCTCTGTCAAATAAATAAATAAAATCTTTAAAAAAAAATTAAAAATACATTGCTATAATGAGTCAATAAAAATATTTATTTTATTTTATAAATAAGTACTTATTGTGGGAAATAAATCCATCAGGGAATAAGCAATACATTATTGGTTATTCCGATTCTCATAGATGATTACTGTACACATTTTGCTGTAAATATCTTCAGACATTTCCCCCCAATGCACTGATGCATGAGATGTATGTATATAAACCTATACTTTTATGATAAAAAATGAATGGGATCACCCTGCACATGTTTTTACCTACTTTTTCACTAAGGATATATTATAAAACTCTGCACGTTTAGTATGGTAGTGTGTAGTATAGTTGATAGAGGGTGGTAAAGACTCAGCAAATGTTGGTGGTCACTGATTGTCATCATCATCATCTTGAAAAATCACCCTCCAGCTAGGCTGTAATAATTTGACATTTCAAAAAGAGCGCATTCTTGGGCGCCTGGGTGGCTCAGTTGGTTAAGCGACTGCCTTCGGCTCAGGTCATGATCCTGGAGTCCCAGGATCGAGTCCCGCATCGGGCTCCCTGCTCGGCAGGGGGTCTGCTTCTCCCTCTGCCCTCTTCCCTCTCGTGCTCTCTGTCTCTCTCATTCTCTCTGTCTCAAATAAATAAATAAAATCTTTATTTTATTTATTTATTTATTTTTTTTTAAGATTTTATTTATTTATTTATAGGACAGAGAGAGACACAGCGAGAGAGGGAACACAAGCAGGGGAAGTGGGAGAGGGAGAAGCAGGCTCCCCACTGAGCAGGGAGCCCGATGCGGGGCTCGATCCCAGGACCCTGGGACCATGACCTGAGCTGAAGGCAGACGCTTAACGACTGAGCCACCCAGGCGCCCCTAAATAAAATCTTTAAAAAAAAAAAACAAAAAAAAACCCAGCGCCTTCTTTTCAGCACACCTCCACCAAATGTGACTTCTATCACATAATTTTTGTGTGTGTGCTAATCTTGAAGATTAAAAATGGAATCATGTTGTTTTATTTTGCACTTATTTTATTGTTAATGAGGTTAAACTTTAGTCATATGTATTTTTATTTTTTGAAAATTTTTCACCTGTTTTTCTATTAGTTTGCTTATTATTTTATTAGTGTGTAAGAACTCTTTATATTATGATTTTTTAAAAAAGTTTTTATTTTAATTCCAGGTAGTTAACATGCAGTGTTATATTAGTTTCAGTTGTAAAACATGTTAATTTAACACTTCCATACATCACCCGGTGCTCATCACCACAAGTGCCCTACTTAATCCCCATCACCTATTTCACCCATCTCCATACTCACTTCCCCTCTGGTGACCACCAGTTTGGTTTCTATAGTTAAGAGTCTGTTGCTTGGTATGCCTCCCTGTCTGTTTTTTTTTTCCCCTTTGCTTGTTTGTTTTGTTTATTAAATTCCACATATGAGTGGAATTAGATGGTATTTATCTTTCTCTGACTTATTATTTTGCTTATCATAATACACTCTAGTTCCATCCATGTTGTTGCAAATGGCAAGATGTCATTCTTTTTGATGCCTGGGTGATATTCTGTTGTGTAAACCACATCTTCCTGATTCATTCATGGGCACTTGGGCTGTTTCCATAATTTGGCTATTGTAGATAATGCTGTATAACATTGGGGTGCATGTGTCCCTTTGAATTAGAATTTTTGTATTCTTTGGGTAAATACCTAGTAGTGCAATTGTTGGATCATAGGGTAATTCTATTTTTAACTTTATGAGGAAATTCCAAACTGTTTTCCAGAGTGGCTACACCACTTTGCATTCCCACCAACAGTGCAAGGGTTCCCCTTTCTCCACATCCTCGCCAACACCTGTTGTTTCTTGTGTTGTTGATTTTAGCCATTCTGACAGGTGTGAGGTGAAGTCTCATTGTAGTTTTGATTTGTATTTCCCTGATCAGTGATGTTCAGCAACTTTTCATGCCATCTGTATATCTTCTTTGGAAAAGAAGACATCTATTCATGTCTTCTGCCCATTTTTTAATTGATTCTTATATATTAAGTATATATTGCAGGTATTTTCACCAACTTGTGATTTGAGTTTTACTTAGGCTTTAGTCTATTATTTTATTTATTTATTTATTTTTTAAAAAGATTTTATTTATTTATTTGAGAGAGAGTGAGTGAGAGAGAGCGAGAGTGGGGTGAAGGGCAGAGGGAGAAGCAGAGTCCCTGCTGAGCTGGGAGCCCGATGTGGCACTCGATCCCAGGACTTTGGGATTCATGACCTGAGCTGAAGGCCGACATAACCGACTGAGCCACCCAGGCGCCCCTAGTCTATTCTTTTAAATAAATAAAAATAAGCAATTGAATTTGAGTCATTTTTTTACTGTGGTTTTTCTCTTTGGTATTTTATAAATAAGTCTTTTACTCATACCTACATAATGTGTATATGACATTTTTGACATTAAAAAGGGGGATCCATTCTTTGAGATTTGGGAACCATTGGTATAAGGAATAAAGTCACACAGACCATGGGTCTGTATCTTTGGTATCGCTGAAAGAGACTGAAAGTCTCTCTGTGTTGGGAAGAGTTTCAGTGGCTGGTGGATGTTTAACAAGTTTCTTTGCTTGTCAAATTCTGAAAAGTTGAGCTTTTGTTTTCACCTGCTTTTCCTGAAACCACAGAACATCTTGTCTATCAGGTAATCCACTACAAAGTGCAATACGTCAAAAGGGGCTCATCTTCATACTAAAGTTGGGACTTCTGAGGCAAAGGATTAGTTACGTTTTTGAAATTGTTTCGTTAATACAATCAGAATAATAGTAATGGATCAAAATATTTCCACATCTTACACGGTGTTGTTCATCATGGAGAGGAAAACAGTTTTGTTTTTCAAAGATATTTGTTTATATGTCACACAATATTAAGTATGTAAATAATGTGCATGTCTTGCTGTGGACTTAAAAGGATACGAACCAATGTGCAGATGAAATTCTGGCTTATTTTAGGAACTCAGTTTTAAATGTTGGCTTATTGAATTCTGTGTTAAAAAGCTATTTAATGAATTGCTTTTATTGTGAAATTCATCAATCAAAATAGAAATGCCTTTCCTCCTGTCAAAGAGCTATATGCTTTTATGAACACTTTAATCCCACATTTAACTTAGAATCTTTTTTTCTTTTCTAGCTTTTGTTTCTACCAATTTGAACAGTATACATGGCGACTGATGGCGATGCTCTTGTAAGTAACCTTCGACTTAAATATTCATCGTTAGTTTGATGAATGAGTAAAAAATTTAAAAAGTTGATCTTAAGTTCAGCTAGCTATTTATTGTCCTCCATTTCCTTAGCCACATTGGAATTACATGATCCTTTGGTTAGGTTTCGGGGTTTCTTATGCTAGCTATTTGCTTTTAAAGATCAAAAACATAACCATGATTTTCATGTATGGTACGTAATGTATCTCTGTGTTTGAGGTCAACTATGGTATTAGTGCAACCTCTCATGCCACCTCTATGGGAAACATTCTGCCAGTTATTATGCTGACGTTGTAGGTTTTTCTAAAAATAATTTTATAGCTATAAATTTGCCTATTTAAGTAAGTCAATTGAGCAAGTGTATTACCTCTATTAGACAAGGACACTAATGATGAAGGGAAAAATAAAAAGTTGATGTAGATAACATGGTATTTCTAATAGGAAGGGATGTGGGGTAGTGTGGGATTGTATGGTGTGAATCTTTTGGCAAATCTAATGACCTCATGATGGATGAATAGGACAGAGTTTTTAGAGTAGAGCCAAAAGCAGAATCAGAAGTCGGGTGTTGAGAGAATATAGTAGGGGCTTCCTGCCAAATAGGGGACATGGCCAATGGTTTCCTGATGCAAATTAGGAAATGAATGTCAAGGCAGGTTGTAGGAATAGTGATGGAGAAATTGAACTAGATAGCTCCTGGAAGGGACATCTTACTAAAAAGCAGGGCAGCTGATTAATTCTCTGCTTCATTAACAATTTCATTTCCCAGAAATAGACAAAACAATGAGAGCACTTTGATTCTGATGCTAATTCTAAATGAGGAGGAAAAGCTTGTTAGTGATGAAAATGGTAGAAACTTTGGGAGACAGGACTGCAGAAAACTAAAAATGAAAACACAAATTATAGTCAGTTATGTACCCTGGGAAATTTGCCATCTAAAAATTGCAGAAAAGGAAAATGTGATCCCTTGGACACAAATGGGTAGGTGTTGTTTGAACATGGAAATGTGAATAATCATGATGAAGATAAGAGGAACAACGAAGAGCATACATGCAGCTGCAATGAGATTCTTGGCCAGGGTTAGACATGAAGGCATATGCATGGGGTGTTAAATGAGGGTCCTGTGGTCAAGGGCAAAAAGAGGTGGCCATCACAGATTTGTAAAAGAGGAACACTAAAGTTTACAGTACCCAACGTTTATAAGATTTTTTTAAAAAATGCATATGATTATAAGGACGTGTGTATGTGTTATATGGAGCAAAGAAATGGAAAGGGAGAATTAGAATGGTTGGATCCTTGAGAAAAGTAATGGAGGGTTTAATTTTTACTCTGTTTTCCTATCCTACTGAAAGAATGTAGTGTTCCAGCTGGAAAGAGTTCATCACATATGTTTAAGAAGAAATGGAAACTAAGATAATAAGAGTGCACCTAAACACTTTAATGAATTCATTCATTCATTCATTCATTCAAACATTCATTTAATGTTCACTGATTACCTCTCCTGACTCTATCATGTATCAGCCATTGTACTACATAGGTCCTGGAAATGGAAATATGATCTGAAACAAGTTCAAATCTCCACATCTTAAGGCAAGTAAAACCATGGCTATTAGAACAGACTGCAGATGCGATCACCAGAGGGCTAACATACCAACCATATAATTTCCAATCAAGTACTGCTGTAATATGTAACCTGCTTCCCCTTGGACAGGGAGCAAGTGGATTCTGTCCTTACTGGTGGGAACTCTGGCTATTTATGGGTTTTTCTCATTTCCTGAGCCATCCTTCACACCTAGACTCAATCAGCTCAGTTCTCCTTGTGTGCCTATTTACCTGTTATTTTTATCTCATAGTCATCAGTGTCTAGATGGTATAGCTAAACATCTCTCTTGTATTTCTTCCAGCTGCTTTTCAATGGTTACCCTACTTTATATTTCCATTCAGAAAATTAGTTCAATTTTCTGCTGTCATTTGTTCTCTAAATAAAATGTAGCACAGGATACCTATTTTTATGCTAGGTAGTTTCAGTAGGCTTGACACATTTGACCTAATCACATCCCGAAATACAATTCATTTCCACTAACCTAACATTTATTGAGCTCTGTGTGCTGAGCACTCTGCTTGCTGCTTATGATGAGGAGCCTGCCATCTTCAGGGGGGAGGGCAATACTTTAAGGCACTTTTGTTGATCCTGACCTGATAGTTATTGAGGTTGGTACAGTAAATGGTACTAGTAAAACTGCTCAAGAAACTAGATTCTAAGCATTTGAAATTTTATTATGTGTGCAGTAGATGAACATTTTTTTTTTCCGCTCAGCTGAGTTGTTTGTTATCTGATAGTAGTCTTTTCTCTCCTCTGAAAGAAACAGCAGAATTTTCAGAGCTAAAGCTTCACAGAGCACCAAAGGTATTAACTCACCAAGTTCTGTTGGTTTTACCTTCTTAATAGTTCCCCACCTTCCCAGACACAACACTTGCCCTTCCCTCTGCCCGTTGGGCTTCTTGCTTCTGCACCTGCCCCCTCCAACCCACTGGCCATGTGACAGCCAGAGTGAACTTTCTTACATGCAGATCTGATGGTGCTACTTGCCTGCTAACATCTGTTCAGTGGCTTCCCACTGGCTTTTGGATAAACCTTACAGTTTTAAACATAATTTACAAGGCCCCACCCGATGTGACTTCACTACTCTGAATGTGGTTATGTCCCAACGCTCTGGGGTCTGTGCCTTCGGGCTCACACCTGCATCTCTGTATTAGACCCTCCTATGCTCAGATCTTCATCTTTCAGGCTTTTGTTTTTATCAATTCATGGGGTACTTCCCCTGACTCCCCAATTCTGGGTAATAGCACTTCCACGTGGACCTCCTTGTTCAATTCCCTCTTTTCTGCCTTTGACTGGAAGCTGTGTGAGAGCTTGCTTGCCACTGAATCTCTAGTCCCTGGCACCAAGTAATTGTGCAATAACTGGTGGTTGAATAAACAAAAGCCATAATTTACCCAACTGTGGCCTGAAAGAAAGAATTAGCATAATCATCTTTAGGATCTAGGCCATAGCCTGTTGGGAAATCTTCAACATAATGATTAGATTTAGTACAATCCCTAAACATCTCTAAGAATCCACTTGTGTAGTCCTTGATATTTATAAGGCTTTCTGCATATCACGCTGTGGTGATAACAAAGTATTGTATGCTAAATCAGTATTGCTTAGTTTTTTTTTATGATTAGTTTCTCACTAAAATAAAGAAATAGATGAATAAACACATAAACAAATAACAATTAGCATATATGAATCCTAAAGGCTTAATTAAGAAAGTTATCTGTTCTCAGATTTTAGTAATAACGTTACAACTAAGTAAGGAAAACAGCCTTAACTTAAAGATGACAAGGCTCAGAGGGAATGTGACACACTGTCTCTTTTACCATCATATGTCATTCTTTTACCTAAAGCTTCTGAAAATTCTTACTTTCGTGGGGAAGCAATGATCAGATTTATCTTTGATAAAAATTTTATGACAGTGATTTCTCAAGAATTATTTTAAATAAAATTAATTTATTAAGTATTAACACATAATAATTATAATAAATGTATATGAATATAAATTAATATTAAATAAAATGTTAAGGGAAAACTTACCTGAAACAAAAGTCTCTGCATATAAATCATGGTAACTGTGCTCAGTTTTCGTGCTCGATGAGGACAAGCTCATTGAATGTGAAGGGACATTCACTCCTGGCGCTGTGGCTGTATTATCTGCTGTTGCCTGGACTGCCATCTGAGGGATGGCTGGCCTAACAGCAAACTGGTATTTGTTGTGTTTCCTTCACAAGAAAGCTCTGCATCCATTACTTACACATCATGTATTGCCTGGTCGTTGTGTACTGTGTGCGGTGGGCTACCTGGACATGATTGCAGCCCCCATGGGAAGCTGCCTGCTCCTCTAACTCTATGCCTATGGTGTGTGTCTCAGGGATGTGGGGATAATTCAGGGTTGAAGAGAGGAATTTATTTTTCACATTTTTGATCAACTAAAAAGAGCTCACATTTTAGCAGCTTGTTTTTTAGGCTACATGAACATAATGCTATGTTAAAATGGCTTTCCCAACGCTGTTGTGCACAAGCCTGACGTACAGATCAAAACTGGGAGGCTGTTTAACACATTTGCTGTTCCAAGTAGGACTTCCAGCAGAGCAGTACCTGGCAGCTGTCTGGGGAATAGATTCCTGGGTAGGGTCTTGTTAGCTGCCTCTGGAAAATTTCTGCCCCTCCTACTAGTCTCCCTCTTCTACCCCATGCATTCTTATTTCTTTGGTTTTAGATTCTTAGTATTTGGAGGATATGGTTAAAACAGGATGCTGGAGAAACCTGCGATAGTTTTTGAGGAAGTGGTATTTTAGATAAAAGCAGAGATTTGGTCAACACAAGTTTATTTTACCTACAAGGAAATAGCAAGGGTCAACACTTCAGGTGAATTCAAATTGAGTGTCAATCAATACCAGAAGATTTTCTCTACGCATGTGCTGCGTTGGGCGAGAAAGGTATTGGAGCAATCTTATGTTGCTTAACTCTGTTGATGTTATTTAGTGGAGGCATTTTTCAGCTCTGAGTAATCAAGCAGTAGATGGCTTTCTGGATATTTGTTAAATCTCCACTTGTGCCAAGGCTACTAGTAAGGCATCATATGAAGTAAAAATTGACATAAAACATGGTTAATGTTTTGGTAAATATTTATTGAGTGCTCCCTATGTGTCAGATAGTCGGCTAGGTGCTAGATTTTGAAGTCAGGACTTGTTCAAAAACATCAATTCTATCTTAAAGTCTTGGCCAGTCATTGAATCTAAATACAGTTGTAGTCATTCAACTACAGAGCTGATAAAATCCTTGAAAACTTTATTTTTTTTAATTTATTTTTTATTTTTTTAAAGATTTTATTTATTTATTTGACAGAGAGATAGCGAGAGCAGGAACACAAGCAGGGGGAGTGGGAGA